CAAGTCTGACCCACCTTTGGCCGAGGCCTCGAAGCCTCCCAGAGCCCCTGGAGAGCGGGATACGTTTCTGTTTGCGTTTGTAACGGTTCCCGGCACGAGTGAGAACGCGTCTGCCTGTGACCCTGGCCGGGATTGTTGTCCGTGGGGGACGACCCCCCGCTCGCTCGGTCCCATCTCCTCCTTGATTCTGTCTCGTTTCAGGACTAGCCAAGGGTGTGTCCACATCATAGTGGCCCAGACCAAAGACAGCAAGTACACGCTGGACCAGACGAGCGCGGTCTTTGGCAGCATCCCCGAAGTGGTGCACCACTACTCGAGCGAGAAGTTGCCTTTCAAGGGGGCGGAACACATGACCTTGCTGCACCCCGTGCACAGCAAGCTGCACTAAGGTCCGGCCAGCAAAGCGCCGGCCAGGCCCCTCCTCCCGCGACGTCGGCGCCCAACCAGCATCCGGGGGGGCGAGGCGGGGACCGCACCCCGGGACTTGGTGCGAAGTGAGTCTCCGTCTAGAAGGCATCCTAAATCCATTCCGTGACACTCGGTCGCTGACCTGTTGCTTTTCCACAATGAGAAATCATGATTTACCGGCTGCCTCCGCTCTCTGGGGTAGGTGTTCTGTTTTGGGGAGGGGAGACTCTCAGGAAAGGTGAGTCAGGAGTCCAGGAATATTGTTTTTCAAAAACGTGCTAGTTGTCACGTGGAGGACCTGGTCTCTAAACCAACAAAAACGCAATTGGCATTAATACGAGGCAATAAAAATGGCCACGTGGGCCCAGGGAGCGCAGGTTACGGACCCCTTTTCGGGAAAACGGACGAAGAGTGGAAGACGAGTGAACAGCAGGTGATTTGGAGACAGCTGTGGAGTCCGTGAAGATTCACAACTCTGACAAGATTACTTTGTTGCTCAGCCTTCTAAGAAAGTTGTGTTTTCTCCATCTCTGGGGACTTTTTTATCATTATTCATAGAAGCATAAACAGGCAGGAAGATGCCCCTGACTTAAGAATCAGCAGTGTAAATTAAGCCTTGGCATCGTTTTAATTCTGAATTCTAGAACGAAATATACAACAAATCTGAAAATTTGAAAAACTCAGCAGCCTCGAGCTGGATGATTTTTGCTGGATGATTTTGCAGAACCCTAGTACCTTCGTTCCATCCTCGGGCATTTCGGTTGTTGGGGCTGGTTTTTAATATTTGCTCCCTACTTTGATTTGCTTTGTGTTTGGGAGTAAATGCTAAGTATATGCATATGTGTACCTCTCTCCGTCCGTCCCTAGGACGTGACTGCCCGTGCTCCCCTCCGAAACGTGCAGTGTCTCCTGGGCTATGCAGAGCAGGCCAGCTCCCGGCATAAAAATATTTCTAAAGAGACCAAGGTTTCCCTATGAAGATATTAAATTAATATTCCTAGTCTGCTTACCTTCATGGTTTATTGGGAACTTACATTGACCGTTGACTTACTGTGAAAAAATTATGTAAAAAACCACGAGAATGGCTTCCTGTGAGGAGACCCCGGGGACGGCCAGCGGTTAGAGCCGAGCAGACGCTTCTGTGTTCCGGGTCTGCCGCGTGGACCTCAGAACTGGCCCGCATACACGTGCACCGTCCTCCATGAAAAGCTCATTTTTGTGGCTCCTTTTAAATACACGGAAGAAGTTGATTCGGTTAATTTTTAGGAAAGCATATCTTTCTGGTTAGCAATCATTCTGTCACGATTTAGAGGTTAGTAAATCCTTGCTTTTTTATTCAGTTAAGGTTGTCGCCAACGGGTTGTGTGATCTTGGATTTAAAAACTTGAGAGGAACCTTTTCTTACCGAATCTCAGTGATTTTATTAATAAGAGTCTCCTGTGTTTTAAATACTGACAGAATGTTTTCAGTGTGTATTCACTCTGTGTGACATCTTTGGCACAAGATTTTGTTTGTTACTTTTAGCATCTACAGTTCCAATTCCAAATCAACAAATATTTATTATCTTCCATATACAAATCACTTATTAAACTTATTTTTAGTTCAACATTCTAAAAGTGAAACCTTATTTTCTACTTAAACTTATTCTACAGAATACAGCGGTTATCCTGATTGTAATAAATGCTAAAAGCTTTGTACAGTTTTTCCTTGTGCATTAAATGGTTTCTGTCGCCCCCGCCCCCCAACTGAGGAGTGTGCAGCGAAATGACATTTCGACAGCAAACCTGATGCGTTACGTGTTCATGAAGCTTCGATCACACGCTCAGTATTGTGCTTTCTCTGCAGTTGTGACTCGTGACCTCCTTCGTGCGCCTGGAGGTAGACACGTGGGCTTGTAAATGGTCCAGCTCCCTCAAACCAGACGGGAGGTTGTAACAGGAAGGGACGGAGTAAGTCAGGAGGGGGCTCGCCTGCTGTGCTCTTCCCCGGGCGGAGGAAAGCCAGGGGCTTTCCGGCTTCAGGGCCCAGCAGGTGTCGCTAGCGGCTTCCTGGGGTTGGGGGCGCGGCTCCTGGGCCCGCTGATCCGAAACCCTGTGACGCGTTTCCACTCTGGGCCCTGAGTGCTTGGGTTTTTTGTCATCTTGTCTTGATGCAAGTACTTGCCCATAGTCTTCATCCTTGTGCGTTACCCCGGTCTCCCAGGGTATTTTCCGATTCCTCCTAAAGAGGATCATGTCCTCTAGCAAATTTGTGCTCCCTGGCCTTGAATATGGCATCCTCGGGCTTCGTCCGTCTGTGACCCCTCTCCATCACCGGCCCGTTTAAAAAATGAATTTAGTAACTTCATTTCCGGCCTATAGGACATTCCTTTTTACTTTGCTACCACAGCTGTTTCTATCAGGATGGATTTCAACCAGTGGAGTTGCAGGATTTCAATAAGTAGGGGTAGAATAACGGAGCGTTACCATGTGTCCAAAAAGGAGAGTATTGATGTGCCGCCTCTGTCGGGGAGAGAAGTGTCCTTTTAAGTTTTCCAAAGTACTTTCTTCTTAAGTGTTTAAAAAAAGAGCCTTTATTCTTTGCTGACTCGTCCGTCATTTATTGGCCTCTGCCAGAGGCTGGGGCCGCGAGTAGAAGTTGGAACGGGTGGGGAAATAGTTCTGATCGTTGCAGGGATTATTTGACCGTAATATTACTCGTTAACGGTCATTGTTAGTAAATCACACTTGATTCCGAAGAACTGAGCATCTGAGATAGTCTTCAGTTGCTTTTTGAACAAGGGCAGCCTTTCTGTTCTATTAAAATGCCCTTTTACAGTCGGAGGTCCGTGCCTCCTGTTTCCTTCCGTTTAGGGGAGAAGGCAGACTCCCTTGTCCGCCACGTGCACCAGTTCGCGACACGTCTTTGGCGCCTGTCTCACAGACTTCTCTCCGTCATTAGTTGTCCGCCCGCCGTTTTCCGTAAGCAGCCCTGTTCTCTGGCTTCTGTGCCGGCCACCCGATGACCGTGCGTCCAGGTGGCGCGTGCCCGCCGCCTAGCGGAGGGAGAGCGAACTGCAGGCGGCCCGATGGCGCGCCTCGCTTGCCATCTGGAAACGTGGCCTTTCCTGCCGCCTCGGTGGTTTGCGGACTGTGACTGGATCACGTCGTCTAGAACCTGAGCCGTGTTTTCATGAAGCTGCAGGCGGGCATCTCATTGGTCGAGTCCTTGACCGTCCGCCTACCTTGTTGGCGGGCTTTACCGTTTTCCCACAACTAACACATACGTTTAGCTTTTGAAAATGCTGTTAGGACGTGTGTGACCCCAGCACACACGTGTGGCACTTGAGTCATTTATGCCCGAGACATTGTATAAAATTCCAGCCCTCCTGAAGGTTTTACTCTCAGATGCCGCTTCAAATAAACACCGTTCCAAGAAAACTAGTGTTTTTGCTCTCGGGTTAGTTTTGAGAATCCCGCCCTTTGTAAGCACCTCCTGCGGCGAGGGCAGCAGCCCGGGGCGCCTTCCACCTGCCCTCATTGCTGACCTGTGGCAGGGAACCGCTGGACCCA